TGGTGCCGCTGCCGGGCTGCGCAGACGGCATCGCGGAACTCTCAGCCGCAGCGGCCGCCGCTGCAGCAGCCCGTCAGCCTCCAAAGCTTCCGCAGCAGCAAAGGGTTCCCGGAAACGCCCAGGTGTACGTGCACCTTGCGGCTTCACAGAGTCAGCTGCAGCGCATGCACAACCCTAAACCCTAAACCCTAAACCCTAAACCCTAAACCCTAAACCCTAAACTCTGAGCCCTGCGCTGTGAACACGCTGCTTGAGCTTGCTGCCTGCGCCCAAGAGCCCGAAAGCCTAAGTCCTAGCTCTTAACTGAAAACCCTAAACCCTAAACCCTAAACCCTAAACCCTAAACCCTACAGCGGTAAAGGATCTTCTGCTTTGGCGGCAGCGGATGCAAAGTGGTTAGCGATGTAGCACTGGGTGGAGCAGCAGCAGCAGCGTGGTGGCTCTTTGCTGCTGCTGCTGCTACTTCTTTTGCTGCTGCTAGAGCCTCGATAGCTGCTGCTTCGGCCTCAGCTGAGGCAGAATTCGCAACAGCAACTGCTGCTGCTGCAGCCGCGGCTGCTGCGTCTGCTGCTGCTGCTGTTGCTTCTTGAGCGGCAGCCTCTGCTGCGGCTTCCGCAGCACGCGCAGACTCTGTCCGCTGCAGCTGCTGCTGCTGCTGCTGCTGCTGCTGCTGCTGCGCGCTCTCCTGCAGCTGCATCAAGACATGGGTCCCTACGGCAGTACTGGAGCAGCCTGAATCTCACCCGCAGCAACAGCCCACACCAGTAGCAGCAGCAGCAGCAGCAGCAGCAGGTTCACCGCAGCAGCAGCAGCAGCAGCAGCAGCAGCAGGTATTGAATAGGTGGCCTTTAGCTTTTCGCTTCGTCCAATTCTTTCGCCTCCTTCATCAGAAGCTCTGCGTGCCTGCCCATCAAGGCGCTGGCTCAGCGTTCAGGGTTTAGGGTTTAGGGTTTAGGGTTTAGGGTTTAGGGTTTACCTTCGGGGACAGCCACAACTTCCATGCGGCTGAAAACGTCGCTGGGCTGCACCGCCCCGGAGGCCCCCACAGAAGCAGCATCGAGGCTAAGAGTGAGGTAGCCACTGACTCCTTGGCTGCTGCCTGCTGCTGCTGCTGCTGCTGCTGCTGCTGCTGCTGCTGCTGCTGCTGCTGCTGGGGTGGGGGCGCTTCTGCCGACGGCGCCGCCGTCGCTCATGCGGCGCTGCAGCGCAGCAGCCCTGGGGGGCGCCGCGGCCTTTGCGCCGCCTGCTGCAGCAGCAGCAGCAGCAGCAGCAGCAGCAGCAGCAGCAGCAGGAGACAACGCAGGCCCCTCCATCAGCGAAAAGCGAACTCTGCGGAGGTCAGCAGCAGGGGGGCCCCCCTCATCAGACACGGAGAAGCAAGAGAGGCTTCTGCCCTTAAATCGCAAATAAGAACCCCCTTGGGGGCCCCCCAAGTACCCTGTTGACAGACCCGGGGGGCCCCCCAGGGGGGCCCCCCCCTCTGGCTGCGCATGCACAGAGCCCGAGGTGAGTTCGTCGGGGGGCAGAGAGTTCGACTCCCCGGACAAGACCCCCCCTGCTGCTGCTGCTGCTGCTGCTGCTGCTGCTCCTGCTGCTGCTGCTGTGTCTGGCAGCAGCTCTGCAGCATACGGGTCTTGCTGCGCGCGAGAGGCCTCCAGGTAGGGGTGGCCCAAGCTGCTGCTGCTGCTGCTGCTGCTGCCTCTGCTGCTGAGCCTGAAGGGGGCATCTGGGTTGAGGTTGGCGAAACCCACATTGCTGCTGCTGCTGCTGCTGCTGCTGCTGCTGCTGTGAGGCCTGGTGATGTCTACGCTGCTGCTGACAGAGCGGCTGGGGCCGCAAGAGGTCAGTCTAGAGGCGAGGGCCCCGCTGCTGCTGCTGCCCAGAGAGTGCGGTGCGTGGCGCAGCAGCTTCGTGAACTCAAGCTGCTGCTGCTGCTGCTGCTGCTGCTGCTGCTGCTGCTGTTGCTGGTAAGGGCGTTCGAGACGAATGCCAGAGGAACCGAAACGCTGCAATGGCTGCTGTTGCTGCTGCTGCTGGTGGCGCTGCAGCAACTGCTGCTGCTGCTGCTGGCGCTGCAACAACTGCTGCTGCTGCTGCTGCAGCTGCTGCTGCTGCTGCTGCTGCAGCGCGAAAGGCGACTGTGAGGAGAACGACCACATGCCAGGCTCTGACCCTCTTCTGCTCCCTTTGCTGCTGCTTCTGTCTCTGCTGTGGGTGCTGTCACTGCTGCTGCAGCAGCTGCTGCTGCTGCTGAGGTTTGTCCAGGGCGCTGCAGGGGAACAACTGCTTTCCCTCTCGGGCGCCTAGTAGCCTTTCACGCATGTGTCTCTGCTGCAGCACGCTGCGGTGCTGCAGCTGCTGCAGCTGCAGCTGCTGCTGTTGCTGCTGCTGCCTGCTGCCTTGCGGCGCCTCCTGCTCAGTGCCTCAGCTGAGGCCTTAAGGGCCAGCCGGAGGCCCTCTGCTGCTGCAAGAAAGCAAGGAAAGGGGCCCCTGGAGCTGCTGCTGCTGCTGGAGAGGCTGCTGCAGCAGCTTACAGCCACGCAGGCCTCCCAGGCTGTGGGGTCACCTGCAGGGTCACCTGCTGCGGTGGGGGTGGCCCTGCGGCACCGCCGCTGCGGGGCGCCCGGGGCACCCTTGAGCTATATAATCTGTTGCAGCAATAAATAAAATATAAAATGTGAAGTAAATAGTGGAAAAGGGGTTGCGGAGCTGCAGCAGGAAGCAGCAGCCGAAGCAAGATCAGACATAGAGGTCTCGCGGGCCTCAGCAGCAGAGCAGCGCTGCTGCTGCAGCAGCAGCAAGCAGCAGCAGTCGATAGGCAGCACTGGAAAAAATAGGACAGTTATGAGGGAGCCCAGGGCTTGAGGAAGAGGGGCAGCTGAGGGCGGCACTGTGCGGACAGAGAATAATGCTTTCGCTGCTGCTGCTGCTGCTGCTGCTGCTCAGCAGCTGTTGTCGCTGCTGCAATGGAAACCGGGAGTTCTTGAGCGCATTAAATAGAAACGAGACTCCCTTTGAATTTTATAGGCTGCCTCTACCAGGCCCAAATGCTATAGCTTGTGCTGCTGCTGCTCCTGTTTGCTGCTGCTGCTGCTGCTCTTGCTGCTGCTGCTCGAGTGTTGCTACCTGCAGCCGCCGCGGGGCAGTGTCTGGCTGCCAAACTATTTCTTCAAATATATTCACTCCTTTAATTGCATTATTTCTGTTTTATCTAAGTAGCTTTTGTTTAATTATGCGGGCAATTTGCTGCGGCGTTCAATGGGGTGACGTCCTATACGCGGAAGCTGCGCCGCCACTGAGGGTCACTCCGGCTGCTGCTGCTGCTGCTGCAGCAGAATACAACAAATTCCAGCAAATTTATTTCTTTTTGCTCCTTTATTTATCTTTATTTCAATGAATGAGCATTATTCCGTGGCTCAGGGACGGGCGCTCCTGCCACCCCAGCCCTGCCACGAGGCACCTCCTGCAGCAGCACATGTTTATTTCCAACAGAAGCTACAGCAAGCAAGTGATGAAAGAAGAGCAACCCAAATTTTAGTGATGTATTTTTGGATAAATAGAGGGGGAGAAGGACAATAAGTTGCCGCCGATAGCAGCAGCAGTAGCAGCAGCAGCTGCTGCTGCTGCTGCTGTTGCCCAGCTGTGTCTGTAGGCCAAGAAATGCGGCTGCCCCGTGTTAAAGCCCACTTCTAGAAAGCTAAATAAGTTTTGATAGTTAGGTCCAGCCCTTTGCAGCTAGCTAGCTAGCTAGAAAGCTAGCCAGAGCCAGGGGCGTCAACTCTGTTTCTCACTGGTGCAGTAAATGCATAGTAAACCTTTGTGATCGTCCTTCATTCTGAGGCAGCAAAACAGCATTTCCCGCAACTGCAGCAACAGCAGCAGCAGCAGCAACCAACTGGCGCCAAGACGCAGCCCGAGAGGGCTCTTTTGGGAGCTGTCTTCAGTTTCGCTGTTCACTTAAATTGCTCCAAAAACATACTTTGTGCAGCAGTTTTGTGCAATATCAAAGGCAAGCACCATTTTGCATGCAGCTGTGCATGCATAAAGTGCGCAATTATGCATTTCTGGAGGCAAATGTTTATCCCTTGAGCGCACAAATGCTCCATTTATGTGCCAGTTCACCGCATGCAAATATTGCGTGGCTTCTGCAGCACAGCTTTATGTGTCTTTGCATGCACACAGCCGCATGCATATGTCTCAGTGGGGTCACCTGCTACTAATGCACAGCTGATGCTAGCAAATGATTTCCCGGATCGCAGCAGCAGCAAAGAGCCAGTCGGAACTCCTTTTTGGGGTTTTACCGACGCAGCAAGTACCTTTAAACTCTTCTTCTGCAGCAATCTGCACAAGAGCCAGAAGGACCCGGGGCCTTGTCAAGGCCAAGTCCTGCTGCAGTGCAGCTGCTGTCATTTGGCTCAGCATTTGAGTGCTGCTAGCAGCAGAGACTTGGTGTAGTGCGCAGGCAGTACAATGGGGCTTGCTGGTGACCTATAGAGGATAGCCAACTGATGATCTATAAGCGGTTAAAAAGTTGAGACGCGGAATGAGCGCTGTAACCTCTTATTAGTGAAATAGAAATGCAATTTGTTAACAAATTAACATTTATAAACTAGAAATGCCTGCGAATGCTCTAAGATTGGGCTGCCGGCAACGCCGGCGCCGGTGCGCGTCGGATCCTCACCGGACCTGCAAAGCAAGAAGAGAAGAAACGGCTTTTATGAATTATGATTTTGAGAACTTGACATAAAAAGGTCGTCTAATAAATTGGTAGACAACACGCGATCGATGCGTCGGTAGTAAAGAAGATTTCATTGAACAGCAGAGTCGAGGGTTGTGCAGCATCGTAGACACTGTGCAGAAAGCAGTGTACTACACTTGGCCTGCGCCAGTCCAAGGGCTGGGGAGCTTGCGGAGGTTGGGAATTGCCACTTTCCTAAAGGCAAAGGCCTTAAGAAATGGCAGTCAAGAGATTTAAGTTGCCTCTTAAAGCATTTCCCGCTGAGGTCGCAAGCTCTGCCTTTCACCCCGAAGACCCACAGAGTACTACTTATATTTATACTAATAGTTCCTGGAGGTTTAAACTAGCAGTGAATGGCTAGGCAACTTTCTCTGTGCTTCTACGGCTTGAGAAGCAGGTGACACTCGGCCTTTGGCACTCTCCAAAAGCCAGTGTTTGCTTTATGGGGAAATAACCGCAATAATAGAGACAAAGAAATAATGATAAAAAGGCGAAAAGGAGGCAAACTGAAGCTCTACTGACCTCCTGGGGCCACTGGCCCTCGTATCTCTACCTTGATGCCAGGGTTATGTTGCTAGAAATGGCTTCCCCGGAAGCCACAGCGTCTCTGTATTACTATCCCTTTCGACCAGAGGCTTTGATATTTTCTTTTAATATAGTAAGACTACTTGTTGGAAAGCTCGTTCGCATTGCTCTTAAATTGCTTGTACTCAGTCTTTTAGCCTTCCATAGTGTTGTGAGTGTGTGTTGTGAATATTAGTTCTCACGAGCTCGTGGCCGTGTCAGTATACAGATATTTTATGTAAAAATTCAAGAAAAAGTTTCTTCACGTTTGTGCTTGTGTAAACGTGATACCGCCGCTTGCACGGAGTTATTGTTGTGTGTAGGTTTTGTGAAGTTTTAGGATTTAATATATAGCTTTAGAGAGTTGAAGAGGGAGCAATATGAACCTATAAATGCCCAGGGTTGCGTAGCAAACGCTGGGATCAGTTGCGGGGGCCGCAGCCTTTTCCGTGAGGAGCGAAGGCCTTTCATAGCTACCAGGAGCCAACGGCCAGCTTCAGTGCTCTGAAGTCAAGAGGCGCCTCTATGCAGTACAGTAATATATAAATGCCAGTTGAAGATTGATTTAAAATAGCAATGGCAGTTTTGCTTTTGAAGGCATATCCCAGCAGCCCCTGCGGCCGTCCGCTCCAGGACTGCAGCAGCCACCAGCCTCGAAAGCAGCCAGCACTAGCATGCAAGAGACTAAAGTGATCTACAGGGTATTTTTAAAGTTAAGAGGCAAATGGAATCCACTGATGAGGCTTGTTGGGGAAGGACAAGCTGGAGGAAATGGATTAGTGGTGGCGCAGTCTCACACACTGAGCTCAATGGTTATATCTCTTTAGTGCCACTAATGATGTGGGACTTTTTGTCCTGCAAGCCACAAGCCCCCCGAAATTATATTTACACTTTTGGCAAGGCTGCGCACCACGACATTTGTTAAGAGCCGCCACATGAGATATCCTTTTGGAATTCGTTGCCTTTGTTTCTTCTCTGGTGGCATGCATTTTCAGGTATTTAGACTTTCCAGCAAAAGGGCATACAGTACAAGCTTGATAGGCCAGGGACTCAACGTGAATCAAATGGAATGCAGCGGCGTTGAGGGCAGCGCACACTGAGCAACCATAGCAGCATGCCGCAAGGAGATTCCCTGCAATGGAAGCTCATATACAGCGTCGTTAGATGCCTGTGCCACAATTCAATTCTTTGGGGCAACAAATGCAATATCCCCGCCTTTAGATAAAGGAACAGACGCTTGTGCAACTCGTCCGTGATTTTCACTAAATGAATTCGTGCGAGTGCCCAAAAAAAATAGTTGGAGATTCTTAGGAAGCGGCATTCTACTTGTTATCTGGATAACCTTGGGCGATTGCTGTCGACGCCAGGTATCAGAAGGCCAGGCCAAGAACCCAGGTGAGCTTCTAATGGCAAACAATTTTGTCAAAAGCTCCAACTAACTACAGCTATACAAATTGCTGCAACATTGCACTCTGCACTTCGGCAGAAATCGAGGCGCGAGGTGCTCGTGGCCTCACGCCTAGCCAAACCTGCACCGCCGCTTAAATAAAAGTCCTTTTGATATCTCCTCGAGCGCTCGCCGCGCACCACTTGCTCTTCTCTGCCGCGGCACAGCCACCCCCTCATCATCAGCTGGGCCTGCGGCCTGCAGCGCTAATCGCCTTACTGATATGTGCAATGATTTATGGCATCTGGCCCTATGCTGGCGCCCTATGCAATACAGCCAGTGGAACGGGAGCATTACTGTTGTAGCAGATGCAGGTGCTATGCAATTATTTCCCCGTGGGGCCACTCAGGCACCATGCGGTCCGTAGATTCAACAGATCTTTTTAGTTGTGCGGGTTGCTGCTGGAGTTCGCAGCACTAGTCTCTGGCCCGGAATGGGTGTAAGGCCAGAAGATTCAGAATGTGTAGATTGACTTAATAACCGGAAGGAATTAACATGCAGAGGGGCTTACCGCTACAGCGACCAGGCCAACTGGGCTCTGCTGTGAGGCTTGGAGCTTGAGGCTGGCAAGGGGCGCTGAGGCTGCAGATTATATCACAACAAGGCAGCAAAAAGGAAATGCCGGCGGAAAAGCGTTTGTATTTCCCAAAGAATCGGGCCTAGAATGGTTATGCATGCGTCACAAAGCGTGGCTCTCAGAACTGCTCAGGACGTCGCTGCTTTATTAAATCTTGAACTGAAGTCTTCTTTTCCTGTGTGCGCTGCCCAGATTGCATTTGCATCTTCAGGGAAAGCTCGACTGGCAATGGTAAGCCAGTGGCTAGCCAGTGGCTAACCATTAGAAAGCGGCTAGCCAGCCATTATAGTCTGTTAGGCGCAGCCTGATTTCCATGTATCTCTCCTGCTTCGGCTACGCAAGTCCATACTGAACGGCGGACACTAAAGGCACTGTTTCTGAGTAATTAAGGTTTGAACATCGCCATTCTAAGTTTAGTTCTCAAAGGGATTGGCCTGAATGTTTCATCCTCCGCGTGTGCCCTTGCTGCACGCTTTGGCTTCAGTGCTTCTCACCCGCCCCAGTTCCCAGAAATAACTGCAGAGCCCACCGCGCCTGATCACTCCTAAGCTAAGTCTCTTTACATGGTTATGACTGCTAGTCGTTTCATCAAGTTAGATCTTCTGAGTTTTATTTTTCGAAGCCACACAGTGCATTGCCCGTCTCAGGCAAATATCCTACAACAAAAGTTCCTCTCAGCATTTACTGGGGGCCTGTAGGCACTTTCCAGTTAGGACCTCGCTACCAGCTTAGCCACTTGTGACCATGTCTCAGTGTTAATGGACTTCACTAGAAGCAAAAGAACACAAGGGCCTCTCTTCTTCTGCTCAGCACCTACAGCAGATGGTCGAGGGCATCCACTTCAATGGTTTTGGTGAAGTACAAAAGTCTTTTAATTGTCTTAGAGAGAAATGCTGACGAAGAAGTAGCTGTGGTAAATGCTATGCTGCCTGCATGCAGTGGCTATTCTTGCTCCTCTGGCCTGAAGCATTCAGGAGGCCCTTAAGGAGATGCGCCAGTAACTTTCTTGCATGCACTATTGCTGAAATATACAAAGTATGAATGCATTCTGCATGCTTTCTTCCGCATGCAGCTGCAAGATGCATTAGCAGCTGGTTCGGGTCTTCACTTCATGCTGTCATTTGCTGTTGGCAGTTCGTTGCAATGTTCTGCAAACTGCAGCAGAAGTGAAGTTGTTCCAGCAGCAGCAAACCAGCGATGATTCTATTTCCTTCGTTTGTCTCGGGGCTTTTTCTCAACTAGAGTTTAGGCCTTCTCTGGAGACTATGGGTGCACTAGTGAGGCAGCAACTGGCAGATGCAGCAGCAGCAAGAGATAGAAAAGGAAGCAGCAGCAAAGCCTCTTGGCTGCAGCAAAAGTGAAAACGAGCTCCTGTGCTGCTGCTTGGGCTGCGCAGCAAGCTTTCGTGTTAGGAGAGTGTTTCTGTTCAATGTCTAGGGCCCGTAGGACCTTTGATGTTTCTTTTTCACTTTCTTTTTGTCGAGAGAAGCAAAAGTTTGGAGCTCTCTGCTCCGAAACGCTGTCTAGACACTGCTCGCCGTCCTTTCTTTTCGCTTTAGGAGCTGCAGTTCTTCATTTTAATTCCATTTCCTTTTGTTTTTGCTGCAGCATTGCTGGCCGTAGCAGCTGGAGGTTCAGCCGGGGCTCATTGTCTGAGCTTTGCTGCTGCTTCGCGGGCTGCTGCTGCTGGTCTTTAGTCTTTATAGGCTTAATTGAGGTTTCTTTTGGATATAATTTAAACAGAAAGAAAATGCAGTTTAATATTTGTGAGGGTGTAGCGCGGCTGGGGTTTGCGACTGACCGTTGGGGTGTATGTACAGCTCAGCGCGAGCCGGTGACTGCCGCGGCGCGAACGGAAAAGGGCGGAAAGCGCGTGAAATTTGCAAAGATTTGGTTCTGTGAAAAGGAGAAAAGGTAAATAAAACAGTTTACATTAATACTTTTAGGAAAAGCCGGCAAAAAACGGAGAACGAAGCCTAAAGTCGAGGTAGCTGCAGCCGCCGCAGGCGGTGGGCCCCTCAGCAGCAGCAGTGGGGGCCCTGTTGGGGGTAAGATGGCGCGCTAAAGGGCAATTTGAAGAGCATTTATGATTTAGAAAATAAAAAGGAATTAAATTAGAGAGAGAAGGGGCAGACAAAGGGGCGAGCAGTCCCAGAGCCGGTTGCTGCAGCAGCAGCTGCTGCTGCTGCAGGCGCAGCAGCAGCACTTGAGGGCAGCAGCTGCAGCAGCAGCAGCGGTTGTTGTTGGTGCTGCGGCGGTGAGCTGTGGGTTTGTGTCGAGCTCTTACCTTCTGCAGCAGCAGTTTGCGAAAAGTAGGCAGCAAACCCGAAAGCGAAACCGCAAACCCCCAAACCCTAAACCCTAAACCCTAAACCCTAACCATGGCCCCCAAAAGCAAGGGCACGAAGGTAAACCTCCGCGACCTCCAGCGCGAGCTCCAGCCAACTTCTCTTCTTCCCGATGCCCCCAGGTGAGTTTTATCTTTTTAATTTCTTTTCTTTTTCTTTTCTCTTTTGTCTCTCTGGGGGCCCTCCCAGACACAATTGCTG